GAAATGAAGAATACACTGATAGAAACAAAGAACAGCCCTGGCCGGTGCGGCTCATTGGATTGAGTGCCAGCCTGCAAACCAAAGGGTTTCCAGTTCAATGCCCAGTCAGGCCACATGCTTGAGTTGTAGGCCAGGTCACCAGTTGGGGGTGCATGAAAAACAACCACATATTGCTGCTTCTCTCCCTCTTTCTCTTTCTCCTTCCCTTCCCCTTTCTCTAAAAAATAAAATCCTAAAAAAAAGAAATAAAGAATAATTTACATGGAAACAACAGGAGAGTGGATGAAGCTGAGAATCAAATCAATGATTTGAAACACAAGGAGCCAAAAAACAAGAAGAACAAGATTCCAAAAAAATGAGCATGGTATAAGCTGCCTCTGGGACAACTTCAAGATGTACAACATTTCCATTATAGAAGTGCCAGAAGGAGAATAGAAAGGACAAGAAATTGGAAACCTATTTGAAAAAAAAAATAATGAAAGAAAACTTCCCTAATTTAGTGAAGGATATAGACATACAAGTCCAGGAAGCATAGAGTCCCAAAAAAGATGATGCAAAGAAACCCACTCCAAGACACATCATAATTAAAATGCCAAAAGTTAAAGATAGAGAATTTTAAAAGCAGCAAGAGAAGTTACTTACCTACAGGGGAGTTTCCATAAGACTATCAGGTAATTTCTCAAAAGAAACTTTGTATGGTACATATACACGATGGAATTCTATGCAGCAGAAAGAAAGAAGAAGCTCCTACCCTTTGCAACAGCTTGGATGAACTGGAAAGCATTATGTTGAGTGAAATAAGCAAGGTGGTGAAAGACAAATACCATATGATCTCACCTTTAACGGGAAGCTAAACAACAAAACAAACAAGCAAGCAAAACAAAAATGACACTGAAATAGAGAACAGGCTGACAGCGACCGGAGAAGAGAGGGGAGGGAATTTCAGGGGGAAAAGGGGAAGGATTTACAGGAACTGGTATAAAGGACACATGGACAACAACTAAGGGGGGTGGAAATGAGAGGGAGGTGGGGGGCATGAGGGGTGGGCTGGGATGGGAGTAAAAGAATACTGTAATTGAAAAATAATTTTTAAAAATAAAAATTAAAAAAAAATTTAAAAAGAAACTTTGCGGGCTAGAAGGGACTGGCAATACATATTTGAAGTCATGAAAAGGAGGGACCTACAGCCAAGATTGTTCTACACAGCAAAGGTATCATTTAGAATCAAAGGATAGATAAAGAGCTTCCCAGACAAGAAAAAACCTAAAGGAGTTCATTATTGCTGATTTATTATTATATGAAATGTTAAAGAAACTTATTTAATAAAAAGATCAAAACTTTAAGCAATAAAATGGCAAAAAATACACATCTGTCAACAATTGAATCTAAAAAAAACTGAACAGACAAGAACAGAGACAGAGTCATGGATATGGAGAGTTTTGATGGTTGCGAGATGGAATGAGCATGGGGGAGAATGGGTGAAGAGGTGAGAGGACTAAGGAGTGCAAATAGATAGCTACCGAATGCCCATGGGGTATAAAAGTGCAGTACAGTAAATGGAGTAGCCAAAGAACTTATACACATGACCCATGGACATGAACAATGGTGGGGGAATTGCCTGAAGGAGTGGGGGTGCTGGGTGGAGCAGGGCAAAGGGGGGAAAAACAGGACAACTGTAATAGCATAATCAATAAAATATACTTTTAAAAAATGGCTAAGATGGTGAATTAAAATTATGTATATTTTACCTTAATTATAATTTTTAAATAATTTTAAATACACTTTATAACTCTGCACTGCTCTGAAGATCAAGACCAAGATCTGTCATTTGTTCATTAGGATCCAGCCACTCTGCCCCACCTATCCCTCCAGCTCATCATTTGCATTGGCTCTTTGCTATAGCCACCTGCCTGACTATTGCAGTGGAAAATTATAACCTACCCCAGCATTCTTTTGACATTGTTTCTGTAAGTTCTGACTCTAATATGCTAGCTTGTAGATTTACAGTATATTCATATAAGAATCGTAGAATTCCCCTGGTTGGTGTAGCTCAGTGAATTGACTGCGGGCCTGTGAACCAAAAGATTGTGGTTCGATTCCCAGTCAGGGCACATGCCTGGGTTGCAGGCCAGTTCCCAGCAGGGGACCCAGGAGAAGCAACCATACATTGATATTTCTCTCCCTCTCTCCTTCTAAAGATAAATAAATAAAATGTTTAATAAAAAAAGAATCCTAGATTCTAACTTCAAAAGACACAAACCCCAACATTCAGGCATCCCAACTTCAGGAGATTTTTTTAAAATTTTTATTTATTTATTTTTAGAAGGAAAGGAAGGGAGAGAAATATCAATGTATGGTTGCTTCTGGTGCATCCCCTGCTGGGAACTGGCCTGCAACCCAGGCATGTGCCCTGACGTTCCCCTGACGGGGAATCGAACCACGTATCTTTATTTCGCAGGCCCATGCTCAATCCACTGAGCTACACCAGCCAGGGCTCCCAACTCCAGGAGATTTGCTGACCTTCAACCATGGGACCAGGAGGACATGTGACCAGGATGAGTAAACCAGGGTGATGCTCACCGGACCATCACTTGGCTTATCAGAATGGACTGTGTTTATCTCCACATAGAGAACTTTGCAAGGTCCTTCCTTGATCACTTTGTTCTGTTCCCCTCTCCCTCCTTATAAAAACCTCTGCCTTCAATGAGCAGTGGCAATTAGCTTTGAGACCTGACTCCCCCATCTTCCAGATGGCTGGCATCTTCGAATAAACCACCTTTCCTTTACATCAGCACCTGCCTCTCAGGTATTGGCTTTCGTAGCTGCAGGCAGCTGAACCTACATTTGATTACATTATGACTTCCCTAAGGCATCATACTTCCCTAAGGCATCAGACTATTCCAACTTGGAACTTTGGTAACTGCTGATTCATCATCCTGGGACAGAAATATTTTCACGTGACTGACTCTCCTAGTTCAGTTCTCAGGGCCAATGATTCATAAAGCAGAACTGTTTCATCCACTCCCACTGCATTATAAGTTATGTTAGTTCGGTGATACTGTTGTTCTCTGTAGTTTTCCAAGTGTCGAGAGTAGTCAAATGCCAGTATCCACCAGCATCTGAATAGTTGTTGGGTAACAATGAATAAAACACCCACGAAAGTTGGCAGTTACTATTCCTATTTTACAGATGAGAAAGTGGAGGTACAGAGAAGTTTTTCCACCTGTCCAAGGCCCCAAAACTGGTAAGGGGCAGAGCTAGAATTTGAAAAGAGATTTGGCTGAAGTCAGTGCCCATTGGTGCCCTAGCTCTTCTGTCTTCTCCCATGTTCCACTCTTGCAGTTTCTATCATCAGCTTCAGGACTCCCTGAAGAACCTGGGTATCTTATCACAGAAGCCAAAGCAGCAAATGTTTCAGCCTGTTATACACACACACACACACACACACACACACACACACACTCATAGACATGTGCAAACAGACATACACATGCACAAATAAAAATCAGCTCTCTTTTTCCACTACAGAATTAATTTCATTCCGGATTAAGACAACTATTCCAATAACTGAATGAAAAGAATTGGGCCACGTTAAGGAAAATGCTCATTCATACGCCTGTTTTTTTTTACTGTGCTCTGGGGATTCCAGTGGGTGAAGAAAAACTGACCAGGTAGAACCACATGCCCATTTCGCTAAAGCACATCAGGTGTGCTGTGTTTCAGTGTTTCTCAAAGGACCACTTGCCTCCATTATCCTATGGGCTCTATTAGTATTTCTACTTTACAGATGAGAAAACAAACAGATAAATTAAGTGAATTGATGAAAGCCACACAACTGAGCTGGAATAAAAGCCCAGGCGTAACTCCCAAACGCACTCTCTTAACTTCTCAAAGTTACATATTTAATTCTTGAGCATTTTTAAGTTCCTTCCCCCAGTACTAGGACATCAAATGCCCTTGCTTGCTACTCAAGGTATAGCATGTAGGTCAGCATCATCAGTATCACCTAGGGGTTTGTTAGAAGTGCAAATTATTAGATTCTACCCCATCTCTACTGTATTGACATCTGCATTTTAATAAGACCCCAGGTAATTTGTGTGCACATGAAAGTTTGAGAAGCATGCTCCAGATTACTGATGAATACAAACACAAAAAGCAGAGTAATTTTTGTATCTCCCAATTAATTTTTTTCTAGATTTTTCCTTCTTAATATCCGGTTATTTCAGACTAAAAAACTGAAGCACCCGTGAGAGTGATGGGATTAAATCCTAGTGTCTGCTGCCACCTTGTGGTTAGCAATTTCAACCCAGCCAACATTTGCTCTTTTCCATGAAATAGAAGGAAGGGGTGGACCAGGTGCTCAACTTTTTTAGCCATGTGTTTTCAGAGACCACTACAAAATTCCAAGATATAATAAAATAATTCTTGGGGTGTAGTTTGAGAAGACCAGATAACTACTGGCCTTTCCATGTGTATCTCTGGGACAAAGAGTATCATAAGCTCTAGTTGAGAAATCTGACAAAAACCGACATCATTTGTGTTGCTACAGGTTCTTTCCTCTCTGGAATTCAGCATGCACAGCTGAATGTGATGATCAATTTGTGTGTGATTATTTTATTACCAACCAGAATGGTGGTGGTTAGGTCAGCTTTTCTGCATTTGCCTGGCCCAGGAAGATCCAACACCTATTCCACAAAGTGAAAAGGAATTTCCCACTGCTCTGCCAAATGCATCATTGGGACCTCTGGGAAGTGGTGGACGAGGCCAGTCCCACCAATGATATCTCTAACACCTGGAAGGGAATAAAAAGAAATTTCAAAAGTCTCCTACATATTTTATCCCAAACAGTCCAGAAGTTAAATGTGCCTCAGTCACGGGGTAATTTCGTTTTGAAGTTTGTCAGCTCTAGAACTAAAGATACCCCAAATTGCTGCTGCAGGTAACATTGAGAGCAATGGACAGCCCTTAGCTCCATCAACCAGAGCCCTTTCAGTCTGGTTATGGAAGAGTTAGCCAGTACCGAGGAGCTGGGCAACCCAGAAGAAAAAACGGTTCGTTCAAAAGTAAGGGGATGGAAAGGTAGGAAAGTGGGGCTTGCTTTCTTTTTCACCGAGTGAGTTTCTTTGGATTTTGCATTAAACAATGTTCACTGTGACATTAGAAAAGGTAGCATCTCTTTTTAAGCACTGCATTTGAAAATCATGGCTCTGTACAATGGAAGAAAAGGGTACTGCATTTAGACATTAGATTAAGAAGCTTCATTTTGTGATCAGAAAAGTCTTTATCATAATGAGGAAAACCTTTCCTTTCCCCTGAATTTGAGGGTTTTTTAAAAGATTTTATTTATTTATCTTTAGAGGGGAAGGGAAGGAGAGAGGAAGAGAAATATCAGTGTATTGTTGCCTCTCATGAGTCCTCTGCTGGGAACTGGCCTGCAACCCAGACATGTGCCTTGACTGGGAATTGAACCGCGATCCTTTGGTTCACAGACCCGTGCTCAATCCACTGAGCTACACCAGCCAGGGCTGAGCTTGAGTTTTAATGTGGCATATGACCCCAATGAAACACTGACACTAATTTTAGTCTCAGAGTTTTAAACATTACCCCAATTATTTTGAAAATTCACTAATGCTTTCAAGATGAGTTCATGGTCAATGCTTTTATTCCTTTTCCTCAGCAATTTTGGCTGCTAAAAGATGTACTAAATGAATTTCACCTGTGTATACTCTTCAATGTAGCCTGAAAACTGGCTTACACCTGATATTTCTTGACAATGGCAACACCATGAACACAGACATGAAATATTCCAAACATAATACATTTTAATGTGGCAAGTCAGATTATTTATTTTCCAATTTCTTCGGCTTCTTTCTTAGTAGGATCATTAGCAATAGCTCAGACACATAGAAATAAATTTTTATGAGACCAGAAGCATCAAAGACTAAACTTTTGAACTTTCATGAACAAAATGAAATTTGCAGATATGTTCACTTATATGAAGAAATAAGGGTTGAATACTACAACTGTATAAATTCACTACTAATGAAGTAATATAATATCTTAAGAAGGGTAGTATTCTTTTTTTTAAAAAGTTATTTAGTTATTTTTCAAGTACAGTTTTTTGTCTATTTCTCCCATCCCAGCCTCCCCCGCCCCGTGCTCCCCACCTCCCTCCCATTTCCTCCCCCCCCAGTCCTCATCCCTGTGTCCTTCATACTTGTTCCTCCAAATCCCTCCCCTTTTCCCCCCTTAAATTCCCTTCCCTCTCCCCTCTGGTCACTGTCCCCTTGTTCTCTATTTCAGTGTCTTTGTTTTTATTCTGCTTGTTTGTTTGTTTTGTTGTTTAGGTTCCTGTTAAAGGTGAGATCATATGGTATTTGTCTTTCAGCACGTGGCCTATTTCACTCAGCGTAATGCTTTCCAGTTCCATCCATGTTGTTGCAAAGGGTAGGAGCTCCTTCTTTCTCTCTGCTGCATAGAATTCCACTGTGTATATGTACCACAATTTTTTGATCCATTCATTTACTGATGGGCACCTAGGTTGCTTCCATCTCTTGGCTATTGTAAATTGTGCTGCTATGAACATTGTGGTGCATAGGTTCTTTTGAATTGGTGTTTCCAAACTCTTAGGGTATATTCCCAGCATCAGAATCACTGGGTCAAAGGCAGTTTAGTTTTTTGAGGAAACTCCATACTGTTTTCCACAGTGGTTGTACCAGTCTGCAGTCCCACCAACAGTGCACTAGGGCTCCCTTTTCTCCACATCCTTGCCAGTTTGTTGTTTGTTGATTTGTTTATGATGGCCATTCTGATCTGTGTGAGGTGTGCTTTTAATTTGCATCTCTCTGATGGCCAGCGATGTTAAGCATCTTTTCATATGTTAATGGGCCATCTGTATGGAGAAGCATCTTATTCAGGTCCTCAGCCCATTTTTTAAATTAGATTGTTTGTCTTCCCAGTGTTGGGCAATCTATATATTCAACACAATTCCTATTAAAACACCAGTGGCATATTTCACAGATCTAGAACAAATATTTCAGAAATTTATATGGAGCCAACAAAGACCCTGAATAGCCTCAGCAATCTTGAGAAAGAAGAACAAAGTAGGAAGGATCACAATACCCAATATCAAACTATACTACAAGGCCACTATATAAAAACAGTCTGGTACTGGCATAAGAAGAGACAAATATAAATTGAACAGAATAGAGAACTCAAAAGTAAACCAATGTCTCTATGGTCACTTAATATTTGACAAAGGGGACATGAGCATACAATGGAGAAAAGATAATCTTTTCACCCTGGATGGTAAAGCCTAGTGGATTGAGCACTCTGAACCAAAAGGTTGCCAGTTTGATTCCCAGTTGGGGCACATGCCTAGGTTGCAGGCTGAGAGGGAACCCATCATTTTTCTCTCACACATTGAATTTTCTATACTTCTCTTTCTTCCTTCCGCACTCTCTAAAGATAAGTAAATAAAATCTTTTTTTTTAAAGAAAATTTCTTACTTCAGTAAGCAGTTTTAGAAGTAGACTGGTACATGCAAAAAAAAAAGAAACTAGACCACCGACTCAAACCACATACTAGAATAAATTCAAAATGGATAAAAGACTTGAATATAAATTATGATACTATAAAAGTCCTAGAGGAAAATATAGGCAGAAAAATTTCAGATGTTCCATGTAGCAATATTTTTGCCAATATATCTCCTAGGGCAAGAGAAATAAAGGAAAAAATAAACAAATGAGACTACATAAAACTAAAAAGCTTCTGCACGCCTAAAGAAAACATCATCAGAATGAAAAGGGGGAACTGACCATGTGGGAAAACATGTTTGACAATGATACATTGGACAAGGGTTTAATCTCTAAAATATATTAAAAAACTTAACAAATTATTTCTTACAACTACATATGAACCTACAATTAAAATAAAAACTATAATTTTTTAAAAATTCCTGGGATTTTATGGGTATTACTGCTTTGAATGAGATTAATAAAAATCTGTTAATTGAGGAAGAATGTTAGGTAAATCCTGGTATCATATAATGGGTGATGTTCACTCTAGCACAGAGGATAACAACACAGACCTTGGGATCAGATTGGTTGGGCATAAGTTATTTAATCTTTCCAAGTTTTAATTTCTTTATTTGCAAAAGGGAGATGACCATATGAGGGTTAAATTATGTGATACACATGAAAAAAAAAGCAGGGTGTTTAGCACATAGAAAGCTATTCAGAAATTTTATTTATTTTCATTACTAAAATATGCCCAAATGATGATGGTATGTGACTGTTTAGAAGTTTGGAACTACGTGTTTAGAATTATTCTAAATGAATGTTCTCTGTAAATGGGACCTTGGAAACTATTTCTGTATTGACTACCCTAGCACCTACCTCTCACCACCACAGCCTTAGAATCACCAAATCTAGCAAAAACTATCTCAAACCATCATTGAAATAAGATCACCAATTTGTCAGTATGAGGTAATATATTCTAACAGTCACAAACCAGGATTAAAATCTGCATTTGTGCTTGGTCAGTTAATTTAACCTCTCTATGTCTCCGTTTACTCATTAGTAAAATTAGGATAATAATATAACCTTCCTGCTATGAGGATTGAATGAAATAGTGGCCAGAATGCACTTACTATAGTTCGGTGATAAGACACCAAGTAGTTACTTTGGCTTTATTTTTCTGTGACTTTATTCTCTGGATCGTGCAGTTTGTTCACATTTACAGCTTGTATTTTAATGATTTCAAATGCTTGTTTTTAATTTTCTTAATACAAATTATTTTTATTTTGTTTGGATAGCACAGAGCTGTGTCTACCAACTTAGTAAAACAAATGTATATTTGTCCCCAAAGAGGAATCATCTAGTAGTAGTGACATGGAATTTCATGAAAGCCAGCAAAGTCAGAAGAAAAATATGATGAAGAAAGTGAAGACTTTTGTGTACAGGATGTTGTCATACAAGTACAGATCCAATCCAGCAAATGTCAGTGGAGAGGGCACCATGCAGAGCCTTCTTCCTAGAGTTGTCAAGGAGCTTCCATCGCCAAGATTATTCTCCACACCAAGAATGAGAAAGCTCTCACAGAATGGCAATCATAGGCAATATACAGTTAAGGGTTGAGGCCAATAGGAACAATGAAATTAGGGTGGATTTTCTTGCTACCCAATGATGAGCTTGTCTGAAATACAGGCTCCCAAGCCCCACCCAGGTCTACCAAGTCAATATCTGCATGTTAGACAGATCCCCAGGTAACTTGAATGTACACACATTTTTAAAAGTTTGGAAATAGATTGCCTTTGAGGCGCCTCCCAGTCCAATTGATCACTAATTTAATCAGTTTAAAGCCCCTTTTTGTTTAAATATACAGGGTCTGGCACGAATAACTCCCTTTTATTATTATAAAATCTTTTATTATAAAATAATAAGCATGTAATTCTGTAACATAACCATATCACATTCAAGCATACTATATGGTATTTTAGGTGTAATGTTCAAATTAAAACTACAATTATTATACCCATATCATTGTCCTACCAACCACACTCAAGCAGGCATTACTTCTGATAGACCCTCTATATGCACACATAGACATATGTATGTGTGTAGGCACAGGGAATCAGACTAAAGTGGGATGGCTAATTCTAACAGAGAGGGTATAGATAGAATTCTCTGAATAAAATTTTGATTAGTAAGTCATAAAGGATATTTTATTACATTGTATCAACTTCTCGTGTACTTTATGGGAGAATCAACATCTGAAGAAAAACATTGTCTTTTCTGCAAGGTAGTAATGCTGATTTATGGGGTCCTATGAGTGGTAGGTAACCACTAATGCAAATACCACTAATATTTGCATTCTCTTCTGTCACTTTTAAAAATTAGTAGATCTTATTTTTTAGAGCAGTTTTTAGCTCTACTGGAAAAATTGAGCAGAAAATACCTAGAGTTAGTTCCAATATGGCCCTTTTCCTCACCCCACCCTCACACTTTATGAGCCCTTACTGATATATTATTATTATGAACTAAAGTCCCTAGTTTATATTAGGGTTCACTCTGTGCCCTGTAGAGTTCTATGGGTTTGAAAAACTCATGAAGTCATGTCGTGTGTCCACCATGACAACATCATGCAGGATAGCTTCACTGCCCTGTAGAGCCCCTGTAGCTTTTTAATATACTTTTCAGCATAGCATCAGAGAACATATACAACCCTCTGTGTTTGCAGGGAAGCCAAACATATTTTCACATTTCACACATTGATAAGGCTGAAAACGTGTGGGTACTTTTCCCAGAAAAAATAAAATGAAAAACTGATTACTTGAAGTTGGCTGATGGTCCTTTCAAACAAACTCTTCTGGAAAAGGCAGTAACTATGTAAACATCCAAGCATCTATCAATTACCTGGTATGGAGTGAATGACCCGCCTTTTTCTGTTGAAAGTAACAGGGGAGCAGTTATTCAACAAGGGAGGAGTTGAAAGTAATTGATGGAGCAGGGGTTGAAGAGTCTAGCAGGGAATGGAAGAGTGTATTCCTTTTCCTGCTTTGTGTGCATTGGCTTATTTTTGTCTTAGTTGCAGTAACAAATCTGTACACTAAGATTTCTCCAGAAAACCTGCTTGTCCTTCACACTACAGCTAAAATATTACAACCTTGTCTCAGCTACAGCCCAAATACCATTGCTCTTCCCTGCTGACCCCCATACCAGTTTTCAAGCAATATTTGCTAAATACATATTACACAGCAGCCACACTTGAGGGGAGATCTGAAGGACACCTTGAGTCAAATTAGGAAAGAATGAGGAGAACTGTGCCCCAGGGAAAAGGAGAGCATGTTCAATCCCAATATCAAGAGAGCACCAGATATAATGAAAAAAATGAAATTAATCCAGCTCGGACTGAGGAGGCAAAGGTGTTATCAGCACTGTTAAGAATTTTTTACTTTTCCTAAAAATGATACGAAGCCATCAAATGCTTGCAAGTTGGGGATTTATATAATCTGATTTGAGTCTTTAAAAGATAGCTTAGTCTGCAGAGTGGAGGCTGGTTTGGAGGAAGGCAGGAGCAAATGCAGGAAGAACAATAAACAGACTCTTACATTTATTCGGGCAAGGGATGACATTAGCAAGGCCTGGTCACAGCAGTGGGGATAGAGGAGGTAGACAGTGGAGGGTGGGGGAGAGGGAAGAGTCCCTGGGCTGAGCACCTGCTTTGAAAGGAGAGCCCCCATTCACCAAGATTAGATGTTGTGGCTCGAGGAGAGTGTCCTTATCTACAGACCTCAAGCAAGACAAGATGACTTGAGGTGCTGTGCACAGCAAATCACTGGAACACAGCAAACTGCAGATACATTTTCCCACTGCCCCCATCAATCTCTTTAACTACGTCAAGGAAAATGTCTCACTTCCTGCCTTTTCCTCTTTTTTTTTTTAAATAAACTTCAAGTTTAGTGCCTTCTATAGGCAGTAACATAGTTTTGTTTTTACCATATTAATGTTAATGCCTATTTATGATATTGGTTTTTGATTTGTGGTAGCATTTTAAAGTTTTCTTTAGAAATACATTTACTGTATCAAAAATTGAATTGATATCAAAATACAAATAGTTCACATGGCTCCTGGATTATGGAAAATTTTGTTAAGATGGTATGTCAATCCCTGAGCCTTGAGCCATATTGCTGATGGGTAAATTTAAAATTTACTTCAGCAACAAATATTTCAGGATGTCTTACATGTTAAAGGTTACTTTTTCTAATTTCGTAAGAGTTGAAGGGAAAAGCAACAGAGGGCAAACTGAAGTCTCCAAGGCAGAGAGGTGAGCAACCTTGTTAACACTGATATCACAACCCCAAGAAAATGCAAATGTGGCAAGAGAAAGTATAAGATACAGAAAAGCAAATCCATATGTAATTTTTAATCCTAAGGAAAAAACTACTGAGGCAGCAGGTGATGCCGTCCTTTTCAGGATACTTTCTAATAGGAAGAATATGTTTATCATTGTGAGCATTACAGGTTCTTTTCTTCCCCCTTTCACTCTAAGCGACCACACAACTTGATGTTGTAGAAGCAGAGACAGAGCAGATAACCCAAGGAAATACACTCCTCTGGGCCAGGAGAACCACCAAATGGTCTTCTGTAACATCCCTTCCTTCAGGACTGCAGAAGGTTTGTAAAATGCTGAAACAAATTGGCCTCTAAAGACTCACATATGGTTAATGTTCAGAATGTTATAAATGCCAGATTCTCTCCCGCCACATGTCCACCTCATAAGAAAGCCATTCAACCTCTTGTTTATGTCTCCTTTCCAAAAATTTGGGGTCCAGAAAACAGGCTAATCAGGTCCGATTCCTCCATTTCTGAGCACAAGCTGTGTCATTTCTACCACAACCTGGGCAACAGTAGACTATAGTGCTCTATATTACTATTTTAACTGTTCCAATACCAAGTTAGTATACTAGCATCTGGCCTATCATGCATGCTACGTGGAGAGCATTTGCTAGACCAGCACTACCCAGCAGAACTTTCTCTGAGAATACAAGTGTGCATCTGGCCGATACAGCAGACACTAGCCATGTCTGCATTTTCAGACTGAAATGTTGCCAGTGCAGCTGAGGAACTGAATTTTTAATTTTATTTCATTTTACTTGAAATTAAAATGTGAATGGCCACATGTATAGGTAGCATAGAGAGTGCAGCCTCAGACAGTCTATGACTGTCCAAACATGAGTTTGTGTTTATCTGTAGGTAGGTAAATTTGAGCCTTAATTTCTCAGACTGAAGTATTATTATTTTAAATATAACAAACATTTACATAGTTAACTATATTCTAGGCCCTATTCTAAGTGCTTTAAAAATATCAACTTATCCGTCCCGGACAGGTGGCTCAATTGGTTGCAGCATCATCCCATGCACCAAAAGGTTACGGGTTCAATTCCTGGTCAGGGCACACACCTAGGTTGCAGGTTCCATGCCTGGTCAGGAAGCATATGGGAGAAAACCAACCGATGTGTCTCTCACACCAATATTCCTCTCTCTCCCTTCCTTCCTATCTCTCTAAAAGCAATAAAAACATATCCTTTGGTGAAGATAAAAAGTTTATTGACTTAGCAGATAATTCTTACAACAGTACCATAAGGTATGGCAATGCTATCCTTAGTGTGGAGATGGCGCAGAGGTTAAGTAATTTGTCCAGATGAGTGGCAGAGTCAGGCTTCTAACCCAGGAAGATCTGGCTTTAGAGTCCTTGTTCTTTAATTATCATGCTAAGTACTAATTGTACTATCCAATATGGCAGTCAATAGCTACAGGTGACTATTTGTTAATTAAAATTAAATTAGCCCTGACTGGCATAGCTCAGTGGATTGAGCTTGGGCCTGTGAATCAAAGGATCATGGTTCGATTTCCAGTCAGGGCACATGCTTGGGTTGCAGGCCAGTTCCCAGCAGGGGATGCACGAGAGGCAACCATACATTGATATTTCTCTGCTTCCTTTCCCCTCCAAAGATAAATAAATAAATAAATAAATCTTTAAAAAAATTTTTAATTAAATATTCAGCCTAGCCAGTGTAGCTCAGTGGATTGAGCATGGGCTTGTGAACCAAGGGGTTGCTGGCTTGATTTCTAATTGGGGCACATGCCTGGGTTGTGAGCTAGATCTCTAGTGGGGTGTACACAAGCAGCAATCACACACTGATGTTTCCTTCTCTCCCTCCCTCCCTTCCTTCCCCTCTTTAAAAATAAATAAATAAATAAAATCTTTAAAAATATTTTAGTTATTTATCTTTAGAGGGAAAAGGAAGGGGAGAGGGAGAGAACTATGAATGTATGGTTGTTTCTTGTGCGTCTCCTGCTGGGAACTGGCCTGCAACCCAGGCATGTGCCCTGACTGGGAATCAAACCTCGATCCTTTGGTTCGCAGGCCTGCGCTCAATCCACTGAGCTATACCAGCCATGGCTTACATAAAATATATTTTTTAAAAATTTTAAAAAGTATATATTCAGTTTTTTTATTGCACTAGCTACACTCGATGTACTCAGTAAATATGTGGCCAGTGACAACACAAATAAAGAACATTTGTGTTTTCACAGAGAGTTTGGTTAAAAAGCACCACTCTAAAACATCACTGTCAGAGTGTACCAACATTAGTTTTGAATCTGGCTTCTTTCATGCAAGGTTCATATTTATCGTATTCCTATTATGTGCTGGGCAGTTCCTAGGTTTGAGGCTACAGGGGTGATCCTGTGGACATCGTCCTATTTTGTGGGATTCTATAGTTTAATAGAAGAGAGAGACATTAAACCATGACACTGTGGAATAGAGGAATAAGGATAATCATTTGAATAAATGGTGCTGAGACAGGCAGAGGTGGAGGAAAAGATGAAATTTAATTCCTATCTCACACCATATGCAAGCTTAGTTTCTGTTGGGTTATAGATCCTTATGGAACAGGCAAAAACTTAAAACTTTTTAAGGACAATAAGAATATCTTCATGTTTTCAGTATAGAAAAAGACTTCTTAGAACACATCACTCACCACAAAGGAAAAGATGGATATATAACCAAACACAGGACTAGCTACCTATCAAAAGGAAAAGCCCAACACATAAGACAGGTATTGGTGAGAAAGTAATGTGGTTTATTTCAAATGTCACCAGGATTTGGGGGAAGTCTTGTCCCAAAGCCCATTTTGCCATCTCTGGTCAAGCCAGGAGTTCTCAGGGGAGGTGGTGGGAATTTGGGGGGGGAAGGAGGGAACTTCCCAGGAGGAGTGACGATGTGTAGGTGCTGGTTGGTGAAAGAGGAAGGTGGGAGTAAGGGGAGGGGCTATGGACATGCAGGTCACATTATGAATGTTCATGGTCAACATCCCTGAGTTGGCCACCTGGATTCTTGTCAGTTGAATTCGTGAACCAGGACCTCGAAGTCAGGCTGCTCCTTAGGTTCACACAGCAACTGTCACTGCTGAACTATAAAGTGTACTTAGAAAAGAAACTCAGAACACTCCAGCTCTAGTTTTGAGGGGAAAACTAGAGTAATAAGCTGGGTTTGATATTTACTAAGATTAATATGGGTGGCTTTATATAAGTATAGTATATTCATTCCCTGCTACAGATACATTTGGCTATGTGAACACCAAGAATTTTTGTTCATCAAAAAACATTACATCAGGTGCTGCCACATCTGCATGCGCTGGCCAATGGGAGAATGGTGTGGAGATAAGCAGCTGGCACAGGCCCCTGGCTGGTGGGTGGTGCACCCCATGCCCGAGAGCTGGACCTGAGTATAGAGGGTTCAGTTCCACCCCTAGGTCGCCAAAGGGTGCATCAGGCCCAGGGTGAGGCAGTACAGGCGGCCCTCATGAGGCCCTCAGTCCAGGCAGTTGACTGACTGAATGACGAATGATGAGCTCGACAGTCAATGTCTAGGGCCAATGTAGGGCTGCAGCCAGGATGGCAGTAGTGCCCTGGGATTCTCTGCAGCCTTAGCCCCCCACAAATGGGAGGGAAAAAAAGAGTCTGGGGTAGCTTCACAGTTAGGGCCTAGCCTGGGCTCTACACCTGCATCAGGGACTTATTTACTTTGGAGAGCTTCAAGTTGGAGCTGCAGAATATGCCTCATACGTCAGCTTCAGTGAGGTCTGGTGTTTTCTGGTCCACTTTGGCCTGCAGTTGCATAAGACTAAATTCTTTGGGCAACCTTCTGTGCCTTTGTGACATTCCACAGTACCACTAAGTGAGACAAGGCCTTCTGTGTGCTACACAGTGTCCTCAGGAAGGGCCCCGCTCTCAGCATGGGCCTGGTCAGGCCCAAGGCTGAACCCATGGCCAGGAAGAGGCAGCATGAGGAAGAGGCAGTGCGAGGATGCATGGCAGAGTGTATCCAAACATACACTCTTTGGACTGTATCCTATGCTAAGCAGCTTGATTGGAAATGGCTAGAGTATGAACAGGTGCTGCGGAAGCTTGCCAAGGAAATTGGGAATACCAACCATGCCCTGCTGTCCTGCTAAGGCATAAGCACAACAAAGCCCGCCAGCCACTGGAGGGGGTCAGGCTTTCACCCCAGCAGACTGAGTGTCATAACAAGTTTGAGTTTCTGATGGGCATCGAGTGGACAGAGGGACAACACTGTCAGGTGTGGCTAAGAAAGTACATAGACATGTGCTGTGGTGGCCCCTTTTGACACCATGCACATCCATGAGGCCACCAAGTAGGTAGTAAAGGCCTTCCAGGAATTCACCCAGTCTACTTGGCACTTGGCACATGACCCAGAGACATTCTCAGATCACTGGAAGAAGCTGACTGTGTGCACTAGCTGTCGGGGGCCAAGTCATGGCCACTGACTTCCACCCTCAGAAACTGAGCCCTGAGGAGTTGGCAGGGCTGAAGGCCTCCTTGGTATAGCACTTCATAGTGGAGCCGGGTAAGGCCAGTGGAGTTACCTGTCTCTATTCATGAAGGAAGGACAGTAAGACTCCCAGCCGAAAGGACTCGCCCCTGGAGTGCATGGCTGGGGACCGGCATATTCACAAATATCTGCTGGGGTTGATCTGCCAGATTTCCCCTCACACCTTCCAGGTGAACAGCCCTACTGCTGAGGTGCTCTGCAGAGTCATCCAGGACTGGCTCAGCTAGATACCAGGAACACAGTGCAGGATGTGTCTGAGGCACTGACACCATCGGCCTGGCCCTGACCTGGAAAATGGAGGCATGGGGACTGAGATGTGCCAGGAGGCTGACAGTTGTCTGGCTGAACACCCACAACAATGAGTTGATCAATGCTGAGTTCCACTGCTGGAGGGTAGAGGACCTGGTTCCTGCTCTGGTGAGCACACTGGCTTTCCAGCAGCTCATTGCTATCCTGTATCCACCTGACACCCACCTGCATCCCAAAGTGATCCTGGCCGTCCACAGAGCTTAGAACGTCAAGTGGCTCCAGGCATCCAAGGGCAACTTTGTAGATCTTTTCAGAGCCCCATTTAACTGAATAAAGGGCACCCCCTTCCAGCCAGGGAAAACAGTGGCCGGGGACCTGTTCCTACAGACCCTGCATTGCGAGATGCTTATCTTGAGATGATGGAGCACTCCAAGGACACAGAGGCCCCAGAGCCCCAGGACCCTTCAGCCCAACACTCACTGGGCTCCCACAAAACTCTAATTTTTAAATGTTGCAATTTAAATATTTTTTAGAATATTCTGCGACCTAATCAAAATCTTTCTATACCCAGTAGAGAACATTTTATTTAATTTTGTAAAATAAAATTTTGGGGCTGATGATACCCACAAAAAATTTGTGTCCTCCCCTTCTTCCTAGACCCTGGAGCAGTGAAAACCAGCCCTTCTAGAACAGGGCCAGAACCCAAGTGGCTCCTCAAGTCCTTTGCCTTACCCCAAAACTCAGAGGCAGTAACCAACAGGGCACAAGACCTGGCTGTCCCGCCAAGGGCCAGCCTGTCTCCATGCACTGTAGGCTCCTGCTCCCGACATACATACACCCATTCTTTTTGGATCAGTTGGGCTACAAAGGCTCAAGTAAACAACTGCTGAACAAAAAGCAGGAAAATTTTTATTTTACAAAATTAAATAAAATGTTCTCTACTGGGTATAGAAAGATTTTGATTAGGTCGCAGAATATTCTAAAAAATATTTAACTTGCAACATTTAAAAATTAGAGTATTTCAAATAAAAATCAGAATTTTCAGCATTCTTCTGAAAAATAGGAAGATAGGTAAACTCTAGGCCCCCAGTTCCTCATGGTAACAGCAGGAGCTGTGCAGGGGCCGCCCCCTTTGCTTGAGGCATGTTTTCTCCAGTTCACACCAGCCCCACTGGTCCTGTTTTACAAAACCTGCCTGGCCTTTTTAGGCATTTGACTTTACATTAATGTTATTCAACAACACACAAGTAACTTAGTAATTACCAAGGGTGGTAAGTACTTCATAGGCAAAAAAGTACTGAATTTTATGAGACAGAAGTGAGGAGTCCAACTATATACAGACTGGAGGAGGTACTGCAAGCAACATTTGAGCTTGGGCAAGCTTGCAGGCAGCTCAGCTGACTCATTTGTAAACTCCCTCACCAGGCAAAGTCTGGGAACCAGATATGGTCTCATAGCCTACTTTATATAGGTCTCACAATCATCCTAATGCTGTTTATTAGACAGATGGGGAAGAGTGAACCCAATGAGACCAAAAAGGGCATATTAGCCAGGAGCCATGACCTAGGAATGATTTCTAATAGCAATACTATTAGAACAGATACTTGTAACCAGCATGCCAGGGATGAGGCAAAAATCAGGCATGCAGTGAAAAGAATGCAGAGCTTCCTTTTTATGTTTGGAGACATGTCTTTCATGAAAATAAGGAAACCTACAGAAAAAAAAAAAGACCAAATTAACAACTGGATCCAGTGATAATGAGCTTTCTGGGGCACTGGTCCACAGCAGCTCCACACTCACTGTGCTCAGCAGCGGCGCAGGCAATTTCTTCTTCCGCTTACGAATGACCTGTTTTTTTCCAGACACTGTATATTCTTTCAGAACCAGACCACCTCATTTCTCCACACCCTATAGATCTCTTCAAAGAGAGTTCTGGGCACAAAGGAGATACATGGGATGTGAATAATAATCTGAATATGGTCACCAACTCAACGTTGTTACGTGGCAAATGTCCAGTTTGTAACAGACTGCCCAAGGGTGAGAATTCTTATTTAAGTACTGTCACAAAAATAATGTTGGCACTTCCTAATCTGATGTTTTTGCATTTTTATGATAGGTTCCTCAAAAAAGAGACCACACTTTCCAGTACTTAAAAGGAAAAAACACAGCATGGAAAACATACACATTTGACAGTAGGAAAGCTTCAAATGCAGGTAGTGGACAAAGGGTTTTTCACTTTTGTGTTTTGAAAGCATCAGAAGATCAGGTTTAACTGAATGCACAGCCCTGCTGGACAGCAAGAATGGGGGACAAAATTAATGATTACCATTAAGAAGTAATGTTAGTGGGGGGCATTTTGAAAGTGGCTTAAGGACCGCTAAGGGCACCTAGAATGATTTTATGTGCCTAATAAATACTAAGTGAATTCAATTAAAATAAAGGCATGCACATAGTATGCTTTGGAGAAGGAATGAGGTTGTCTTTATGACTAGGTGGTATATGTGAGTTTTTAAGATACTTTCTATCACGAATTAGAATAATGCTTTGATACTTGCAAAATATCCACTAATTCCTGAACTCATGTCTCAGGAAAAACAACCAGCCCTTAGGTTTTTGACAAGGTTTTCCAACACATGGCCTCATTTCATTGTATCTGCACGTCATAGGTGGATGACCTCACAGAAACAGTTACTGGTAAGTCCATGAAGTCACTGGCCCAGAGACACGCTGAGCTTCACCAGTGTGAGTTTCTAGGCGACAAAATTCTTCAGTCTTCTAAACAGTTCCAGAGGATTTCCAAGAGAACCATGAGGAACTATAAACTGAAAAGTGTGTTTCCCATGTACCTGCTGCTGCTTCTGATTGTGTTCCTGATTGCATAAAAGTTATCTTCATAGAGATTCTTCCCTTTTGATACATAATCCTGAATAAATTTCTCTAGTGACTTAATCAATGTGGGAAGGTAAATTTTTAAGAATATTCTGCCCAACAGTCCTTAAAAAAATGCTTTTACAAAAATTGTTTTTTAATTCTGAATCAATATAAGTAATTTTTGCTTTATATTTCTTACTAATAATGGAAAATAGAAACATTTATTAAGGCATAAAAATTCTGCAAAAAAATTTCTACAATTTGCCAGATGAAATTAGCGGAAGCATTTAAAGGTATTACAACACTTTTTTTAAAAAATAGCTTTTTAAAAAGATTTTATTTATGTATTGTTAGAGAGAGGGAAAGGGAGGGAGAGAGAGGGGGAATGAAGCATCAATGTGTGGTTGCCCTAGTGCACCCTCTACTAGGGACATGGCCTATAACCCAGGCACATGCCCTGACTGGGAATCAAACCAGTGACACTTTGGTTCGCAGGCTCATGCTCAATCCATTGAGCTATACCAGCCAGGGCCATATTACAACACTTTTAATATGAACTACAACTGACTAATTTTAAATTTTAGTTAAAAAAATAAGAATTCTCATTAAAATTATAAAAATGTAACATTATTAAGGTATGATTCATGTAAAGTATCATGTTTGTGAACTAAAAGAAATGACTAAGAATGAAATCTAACAAGTATTAAAAATAGAATTAAATACTTAAGAAAATGACAGGTGATTCAGCCTTAGCTTAATTTTTAAAAAGGTCATAAAATTCTTTATGCAAGACCATCTTCATAGGCTAATTTCCTCAAACTACTCTTCACTTTATCAACTTTTTTCCCATTGAAAATAACTTCTAAAGAACAAAACAGTAGAGAGAAAACATGAAAAAAAACATTTAACAACCACGTTGCTTAAGTACTAAGGAGAGCTAGAAAGTAATGCATATGGATTAACTTTGTATTTTATTTCCTCTTACACCAGTGATTCTTATATCATGGAACCTGGCCCACAATGACCATACACCACAAACATTTTGCACACAATTTCACAAGTTCACAGACCTCCTGAAGCATATTCAAGTACTCCATTTTCAAAAGTGTTAACAATTTACAGAAGCGGACTCATTTTCTTCACGTACACCTTAGAAACACCACCTTCTCACAATCTTCAACTTATTTTATCAACAAATCAATATTAACATTTAAGAACTATGGGCACAAACATTATCTGACTTGAAAAAGTTGTATTAAACATTTTCGGATGTTGTTTTCTACCTTTTAAGTTTAAGAATAAATAAGGTATTTCAATAAAACAAATCTATACTGAAGTCAATTGCCTTTGTGTAAAGAAACATAAACTGTACATAACATTTAAAAGCAGAGTAGTTCACTGTCAAAACTTTAAATATCTCAGGAGAACAGCAAATTCTAAACACACTAAGATCATGTTGCTGATTTAACAGTCTTGGGAATGGTGGCCCGCCTGACTATGGCTTTGGATCTGCTTCCAGGCTCGTTTCCTGAGCTTCGTCCACCTCTGAGAGCTTTTCATCATCTGCAGTTGAGAAACATAAATGCTTAGTCAAATATGATTAAATTACATTTGATAAATACATGAAAACATGTTTAGCCTTAATTAGCCAATATATTTAAAACAAAGATGGCAAAATGACAGCCTAGGACTATAATTGGCACACAAAATCATTTTAGTTTTAAAAGTTCTGTTTTGACTGTTCTTGTGCAATTAGTTGAATCAAAATGTAAAATTTATATAATAGATTTCACTAAAAAAAAAACACCTCTATGTCTTAGGCTTTTCTTGAAAACAATCAGATCAGATTAACACAATAATTTCCAATTGGCTATAGTCAATACAATGAGCAAATCTTCAGTTGCCTCAAAGCATCCACTGTTCACTAAATGTGCAAATATGCTTATCACTAATTACTTCACTCCCTTACCATGGTCTGCCTGAGTCTGAAATTGTTACTTTATACTTATAGCAATAAACTATAATAAGCCAAGAAATTTCCAAATATATCATCCTTGAACTTCTCGTAATATAAACTACTGAATGTATTTAAATCATTAATTGTCACAAATTCAGACTTTTCTTCATATATTAGAAAGTCAAACAACATGAGTATCTTATAACATTATCCAACTATATACTGCTGTTCTAAAACTGAAGGTGTATATTTCTTTTAAAGATGTGTATTTTAGAAGGCATGCTCCTACATCATTTAAAAATCATAAACATTTGTTATGAAACTATTTCTACTTACTTTCCAGTGTTTGCTGCAGTTCGTGGATGGTACTAAGAAGAACATGAAATTGTTTCCGTCTCAATTCCAGCTGTATTAACAAGAGAAAAATTAATTCACATTGATCTATAAACACACATATCATGAAATCTATAAAATATGTATGCAAATACCTTGTCTTCAACACTTTCTTTAATATGTGAAAGATGTTCTAATTCTTTGCCCAGAGCCTCTAGTGCCCTGAAAAATAGTAAAACTGTTTATTTTGCTAATTGGGGGAACAGAATTTACAATACCTAACTTTTTAGTTACTAAGTAGTATTTTTAAGGGGAAAAAGGGGGAGGGATTTGGAGGAACAAATAGGAAGGACACAGGGACAAGAACTAAGGGGGGTGGAAATGGGAGGGAGGTGGGGAGCATGGGGTGGGGGAGGCTGGGATAAGAGAAATAGATAAAAAAACTGTACTTGAAAAATAACTAAATAAAATAAAAAAATAAAAAAGGATGAGTTAACACTCTATTATGATAAGACTTTTATTTTTTAATATATTTTCTGACTATGCTGTTATAGTTGTCCCATTCTTTCCCCCTTTGCCCCCCTCTTCCTGGTACCCCCATTTCCTCCGGCAATTCCCCCCCCCCCTTAGTTCATGTCTGTGGATCATGCATATAAGTTCTTTGGCTCCTCCATTTCCTGGACTGTTCTTAACATCCCCTATCTATTCTGTACCTATCCCTGCACTTCTTAATCCCTGTACCTTTTCCCCTCTTCTCCCTCTTCCCCCTCCCAACTGATAATCCTCCAAATAATCTCCATATCTACGATTCTGTTTCTGTTCTGCTTGTTTGCTTACTTTGTGGATTCAATTGATAGTTGCGAATTTATTGCCACTTTAATGCTCATAGTTTTGGTTTTCTTTTTCTTAAATAAATCCCTTTGATATTTCATATAATGGCTGGGTGATGATCATCTCCTTTAGCTTTACCTTGTCTGGGAAGCACTTTGTCTGCCCTTCCATTCTAAATGATAGCTTTGCTGGATAGAATAATCTAGGTTGTAGGTCCTTGTCTTTCATCACTGTGAATACTTCTTGCCAATCCCTTCTAGTCTGCAAAGTTTCTTTTCAGAAATCAGCTGACAGTCTTATGAGAACTCCCCTGTAGGTAGGTACTTAACTCTTGCTCCTTTTAAGAGTTTCTCTTTATCTTTAACCTTTGGCATTTTAATTATGATATGTCTTGGTGTGGGCCTCTGTGCTTCCTGGACTTGTATGTCTATTCCCTTCATCAAATTAGGTAAGTTTTCTTTCATTATTTTTCCAAATAGATTTCCGATTTCTTGCTCTTTCTCTTCTCCTTCCACCACCCCTATGATTTGAATATTGGTACATTTGAAGTTGTCCCAGAGGCTCCTTAGCCTATCCTTGATTTTTTTGGATTCATTTTTCTTCTTACACTTCTGATTGAATGTTTTATTCTTCCTTATGTTCCAAATCATTGATTTAATTCTTGGCTTCATCCCCTCCACTGTTGGTATCCTGTAAATTTTTCTTCATATCACTTTGTGTAACCTTCATTTCTGCCTGGGTCTTTTTATGCTATTGAAGTACCCAATGAGTTCCTTGAGCATCCTAAGAACCAGTGTTTTGGACTCTGCATCTGATAAACTGTTTATCTCCATTGTTTAGTCCTTTTTCCAGAGTTTTGTTCTGAAATTTTGGCAGCCTTCCTGTGTTTGTTTCTATGTATTAGGTAGAACTGCTTTGATTCCCTGTCTTAGTAGTGTGGCCTATTGCAGAAAAGAGCACCCGTAAGTTGGATGAGGTAGAGCCTTAGGTAATCACGACGGCAGAGCAACCTCAGTGAACCAGGCTGATGGAGTCTGCAACAAGGTGTACCCACTCTGTAGCTTTGTGTGGGGGAGGGCTCAGAAAGGGGACAATGCTGCTTCCTGGCTTTTGGAGTTTTGTCTGGGAGCAATCTGTCCCCTGGCACTCGCCCTGATGTCAGTCACTTCAGTTTTTCTCTGTATGCCACTGGTGCCCTTCCAGCTGCTTCCCCAGTGCTGTAGCTCAGAGGGAGTGAGTATGTGTAAGTCCTAAGTCTTTTGTGGGTTAAGAGGAGACTCCTGAGAATACTGCAGTTTCTTCCACTGCCCCAACCACCACTGGTTTTTACAGCCAGAAGTTATAGGGACTTGTCTTCCTGGCACTGGAGCCCTGGGCTGGGTGGTCTGATGTGAGGCTGGGATCCCTCACTCTAGAAGTATTCCTCACAATTTTTATCTACCATAAATGCATGGGGGACCACCTGTTCCATGTCTTCACAACTTCGTGTGTCTCTACCCCTCGTACCTGCCTAGATGAACTGACTTCCTTAATTCTTCGCTTGTTGGACTTCCATACAGCTTGATTTTCTAATGATTCTGAGTGACAGTTGTTTTGTGTGTCAGTTGTAACTTTTGCTGTGGTTGTGCGAGGGGGAAAACTGTGTTTACCTACACCTCCATCTTGCTATGATAAGCCTTTTAAAACTAACGTGATTTCTTCTCAACTTCTAAATATGCGCTTATTTTCATTAAAATTAAATTTCTAGATAATCTTTACAGAATAGGAAAACTACAGATAACAGAATATCAAACCCCAACAATTGATATGTTTAACAACATTTTACCATACTTATTTCAAGTCTCTTTTTTTTTTTTTGTAAAAGAAATGAAACATTCCTGGTTAGTTGCTGAGTAATTTGAAATACACTTTTAACCTCACCCCAAATCCTCTATCCCAAGCTATTTTTCTTCCTTTCCCTCCCACTCAGGCAATCACTATATCATTCCAATCCTTTTTTAATGTATATATTTATATCTCTAAATAGTATATACAGTGTTACTATATAGTATTTTGGGGTCCTACAACTTTTATACATGATTATGATTCTATATATACTTCAGAAGCTTAGGAATAATTTAACACTTATTATATATTTGTCTTCTGTTTTTTTTACTGATTATGTTTTTGAGATCTGCATTTAAAATGTGTATATCTACTATATTCTTTTAAACTTATATTTAGTGTTATACTGTATGACTAGACCATATTCTATTTGTCATTTTCATATTAATGCATATTATATACATTTATTTTAGTAAGGCTGGAAGAATAAAATCTAATCAACAGTATTAGAATACATCATATTGACTATCTGATCCCTCCTTTTGGAGCATATTATGTATTCCTGTTAAAATGGATTAGCTAGTATATAAACATTTATATGTAAAGATTAGTTACTTTCAAGTAAAACTCTAAACGTACTTTAATGTGTCATGTCTGTCTGGATGATGCTGAATCACTTTTGCCAAAGCATCATATTCTGAAAGATACAAAAATATTTACCAAATTAAGTTTTTTTTAACCTGGATATCAAAATACAATGTGTAATATCACAAGTTTCTCCTAATCACTTTCCTAGTACATAAAGAGATGAAAACATTGCAAAACAGAAAGTATTGCCAGCTTCACTTGATTTGACTATAACTGTAATGATACATGACTTCAGGTGTTCCAAACAAGGCCTTTACCTCCCACTCTGTTTTTCATTTACCTATTCATGGGCAGAATACAAGAGACCAGCAGAAGTATAAGTGATCTTAAGTCATTATTGATTACCAAATGGACTGATTCTAAAGAGAACTGTATTTCCTATTTGCCCAGCAAATAAATGATCAGCAAGGTAAATACGTCATACCATTAATTTTAGATCTTAGACAACAGCAAATTATACTTCTCACTCATTCTAAAGGTAATGATTTTAGAAACTTAGAAATGATTTAAAAATCAGGAACCTTGTTTCTGCACCACTGAGACTTCCGGGATATGTCATGTATCTCCTGTTAACCTTCTTTTGAAATGATTAACGGCAGCATTCACTTGAAAGCCTCATTAATCAACAAAAAAAATGTAAAACTTTTTAACATTATTTAGAATTATATTAATTATTAAATAAGTTGGTATATCCTGTTGGAAATTGCCCACTGAATTCAAAAAACATCTTTTTAGCCCTGGCTGGTGTAGCTCAGTGGACTGAGCATGGGCCTGCAAACCAAAAGATCATTTGATTCCCCGTCAGGGCACATGCCTGGGTTGTAGGTCAGTTCCCAGCAGGGGCCAGTTCCCAGCAGGGGATGCACCAGAAGCAACCATACATTGATATTTCTCTCCTCCCCTTCCCTTTCCTTACTAAAGATAAAGAAATACAATTTAAAAAAGAAAAATCAAAAAACATTTTTTTAAAAATAAGGAGTTCAACATCATCTTAATAGGTTCATGAAAAAAATTCATTGTTTTAGAAATCAGCATATTTAGTGTGATTAACAAAAAATTTTTAGATTATAAAAAATATATGCTCAGTGTAAAAAAAACACCAAAAAATTTAAGCCATAAAAAAACCCACAACCCCCAAATAACCATTAACAATTCTCATTTCCTTCTAGTTTCTCACATATGTCACAATTCTGATTATATATTATATTTTTGTCTATCTTTGAATTTGCATATAGGAGGAACAATGCCTGTGCCATTACAAATTACTTTGAAATAGTTTTTATAGATTGCAATAATGACATACCCTGATTTAAATACAAGAGATCAAAACAAAACGAAACTTAGCCCTGGTTGGTGTAGCTTAGTGGATTGAGCACATGCCTGTGAACCAAAGGATTGTGGTTCAATTCCCAGTCAGGGTACATGCTTGGGTTGCAGGCCAGTTCCTGGCAGGGCACGCATGAGGCAACCATACATTGATATTTCTCTCCCTCTCTCCTTCCTGTCCCCTCTAAACATAAATAAATAAAAATCTTTAAAAAAATTAAAAACAAAACTTAAACTTCCTCTTATTATTTAGGCAGCTTATAAATGTATGCCTGCTTTGTACAAAATGAGCTTAATTTTTTTTATAATAGCTCCACTAAACAAATAAATAAACAACAAACAAAAAACATAAATCTAGTGTACTTGCATAAATAGCCTTTGCTGATTAACCATAATATTATTTAGGCAAAGTTGTCTAAAGACAAAAAACAAACAAACAAAATCCTGAATACTGAATACTTGCATAATCAATTCAATACAGGAAAAAAAAAGTTTTTTCAGTATAGCCTTCCTTCTTAGCTATTTTAAAAAGTAAAATAATTTTAAAGAATTAAGTTTGGCTCCTAATTCTTTTTTATAATTCAGGTTAATTCTAGTTGAAGATTCTACCCCACAACATAAAACATAGCATGTAAATACTAGTCAATAATAAAGTATTTGCAAACTAAATCCCATAAAACCCTTACCTTGGCGATTTTTTCGTATTCGTTTTGCTTGAAGAATCTGCTTTTTGCACTCAGCGATTTTTTCATGTGCTCCAGCAATGCTACATTCTATAGAAAAAGTTATTTTAAGATAGTCATAACATTTATAATCTCCATCCATTTTCAATTTTTAAATATTTTTAATAAGCTAATAAAATCAATGCTGCCATTTAAAAATAGTTGTAACTTAAAGTACCGTATCATATTGAAATACATTTTTATAACTAATTTTACTATATTCTTACTATTAATATTGTTACTGTTACCCTTTTGCCACTAATCAAAGAAAAATATTAGCAGGCATTATTTCCTTTAGGCCATAAGAATTAAAATTACAAATAGAGAAATATTAATTACTTTAGGTTTCTTTACCTATTTCTTTGTAAATTTTTTCGTAATTTTCCATTTCTCTGAGATTCATATCATATACCAGCAAAGTTTTACCCATTGAAAATTCACACTGGGACAGTGTACTCAGCATACGTTGGTACTGGCTATACCTAATAAAAAAGAGAAACAGAATAAAGACTTCTGTGGATTACCAAAGTCGAAATATTTATAATGTAGGCAAAGATTTACTAATTAAATTATTTAAAGTTCTGAGAGAATCCTTTGCTTTATTTAAAATAATTCAGAATATCTGTCCCTTGTGTTTTCTTTTCCCAAATAAATTTGGGAAAAGAAATTTGAATTCATAAACTGCTCTACTTATAAATACAAAGATGGAGCTGCTCCTATCAAGTTTAATTCAAACAGCTACTTGCTTGAATTTTGTTTTAAATACTTTAAAAAATACTTTGACCAGATTTTTTAAATCTTCATAATTCTGTTCTCACAATTTTTTCACTCTATATAGTTATTTATGTGAAAAGCTAATTCAAACGAAAATTTCTAACTAAAAAAATTTATTAAATCTATGTAAAACTTTGCAGCAACCTATTAGCTAAAAGAAAGAACATTTCATTTAGATACTTAAACATTTATCTGCTAAAATTGACCAAATAATGGCCTGAATTTAATCTTCATTTTTTCTTACCACCATTCCTTCTGCACATGTTAATAAACATTAAGCAGGCCTCTCCAGTGAGATAATTAAGGCCAGAAAAATCTACTCTTGACTAACCAAGAGTTGACTTAATTGGACATATAAGGTGAGTAAAAATTTGCAATAGTAACAGGATTGTGTATAAGGTCTAAAGTCACATCAAGACACTGGTATGGAAACAACAGTAAACAGAAATACCCCTCTTCCTGGGATCCAGAATTGCACCATTTAATGAAACTTTTCACTAGTAGATTAATTCTGCGATCATCTCCAGCACCATCTCCATCAATTAGGAGACGCTTCCGTATGACTTCGTCTGGAGGAAAGAAGAATGATGTGAATTAAAAAGACCATCTGGCTCTTGTTAATTTCAGGAACAACCACCAATATCACTACTCATTCTTTCATCCAAAAGGAAATTACTGAAATGTAAATGTACTCAATGCCATTAGGCTGCACAGTTAAAATTGTTAAAAATGGTCAATTCTGTATTATATAGGTTTTACTACTATATATTTGTAATAGTTATTGTCTACTTGTGTCAGGTACTATTCTAGGGACTGGGGTTGGAGCAGAGAAAAGCCAAGTCCTCACAAAACTGTGATTCTACTTGCTGAGTTGTTGAGTAGAATTAATTTTCAGGTACCACTAAGGAAATAAGCCAATAATTCTTAGAGAACTTTTTTGGGAAAAACCCATTCAGACAAAAGGAAGACTGAAGTGTTCACGTCTCTGAATAGTTTAAGGTCCTAGTAAAAGGAATAGAGAGAGAAGAGGATTTAAGGACATCCCTTTACATTTATCTTTGTGTGTGGATACACATGTATCTATATTATGAATTCCTAGACTGCATTTTAAATGTTTGTTGGTTTTTGAGCAGACTCAAAAACCAATAGACTAAGTGGCAGACTAAGAAAAAGGATGACACAGATCAGAGAAAAAAGAATGAATTTGTTTTTTAAAATGTGTAATTTAGTTATTATATCTGCAATGTTCTTCCCCATGAGGGCTTTGTTTGTTTGTTTGTTTGTTTGTTTGTTTAAATGATCCTGTGTCACTTTTGCTGTAAGGCAAAGGAAAAAAGGAATTAGAAAAGCAGCACAGATGATTATGATGAGTTAAGAAGTGGTCTGGAAGTCAAGGGCTAGTGTTCTTCCTGCATCATGTCACGCTGGATCACAACAAAAGAAAAGCAACTTGAAATCACAATATATCATTTTCACATATCACAATGGTAAAGATCAAAAGGCCTAATAATAAAAATGTTAACAAGGGTGCTGAGAAACTGCACTTACACTGATGGAATGTAAACAGGTATACTCTTAGTAGGGCAACTGAGCAAAAACCAACAAACATTTAAAATGCAGTCTAGGAATTCATAATATAGATACCTGTGTATCCACACACAAAGATAAATGTAAAGGGATGTCCTTAACAGTGTTGTTTGTAAAGGAAAGACTGAAAACCTGAACATTCACCAGGAAAAAAATTGGTTAAATTATGAAGCATATTATACAGCCACATAGTGTGGGTGTACATACCATTGACAAAAAAGTTAGATATGTTAAGTAAAATGTAAACAAAACAGGTGCAGAGGAGCAGAGCTTGTTGCCATTTGTGTAGAAAAGGGGGAGATGTGGTGTGTGTCTTGTGTATGTGTGCACACATCCACATGTGGTGTGTTTATCTATTCAGAGAATATCTTTGGAAAGATACACAAGAAACTGATAATACTAGTTGTTTCCGGTAAGAAAGATGACAAACGATGAGAAAAGATTTGATTTTCTAAATGGCTTTGTAGAACTGTGTTTGGTTTTTAACAAGTGAATGCAATTTTTAGTAAAAAATCTGAAAGTGTAAATAGTTCCTGGAGAGCTTGCCTGATGAATCAACAGCAAATCTTTAAACAATAGTTCCTGTGTGTAGGCAGAAGTATTTTTGAGTGCAGGTGCAGTGGAGATAAATTCTAGAAGGCAGATGGCTCATTTTAAAATTTACTCTGTGACATCAGATAAACATTTTAGAATTGGGTTTTGTTCTCAAAGTTATGGCTTTGATAGGCTGCTCAAACTACAGATTCATCACGTGTTTTAATTTTACATTTTAAAATACAAAATTAGTGCCCTGCCTGATTTGGCTCAGTAGATTGAGTACCACCAGCCTTCAAACCAAAGGATTGCTGGTTTGATTCCTGGTCAGGGCACATGCGTGGGTTGCAGGCCAGATCCCCAGTGTGGGGGCATGCAAGAGGCAACCCACATTGATCTTTCTCTCAATTCCCTTCTCTATAAAAATAAATAAAATAAAATTCAAAATTAGTCCGTAAAAACTTTTTAGTTTTTAACCACCAACAATGTTATCTGAGGAGACTGAGACAAATGCACATTCTCTGCATTCTAGGAATTCAGTCCTTGAAGAGACTAAAATGCAGAAAATGAACTGATTTTTTTAAAAACCACAAACATGTTTTAACTTTGTTAAAATATAAGTAAACATAACAACAGGTAAGCAATCTGGTGTTAAACTAACACTGTTCAATTCCTTTGCCAGTCTTCTTATCCTTGCTTTTCCAAACCCCCTACTCCAACACTGTCTCCCTAAACCCCTTCTTCCTCCCAGATACCTGGACATACTACTTCATTGAGGACCAGGGATTTCAAATGTAAATGCATTCAAGGAATAGAGAAATTGGGGAGTGACTACCCTAGGGGAAAGTTATTACCAGAACTTGTTTTTCAAGAGATTAAAAAAATAAAAAACAACAAAAAATAAGTTCTGGAACCTATCAACAAAATAAACAAGCAAAATATAACCAGACATTGAAATTAAGAACAAACTGACAGTAACCAGAGGAGAGATGGGAGGGGATAATGGGAGAAAAAGGGGAAGAGTTTTCAGGAACATGTATAAAGGACACATGGACAAAACCAAAGGGGGGTAGGATCAAGGGTAGGAAGTAGGGATGGCTGGGGTTGTGGGGGAGCACTCGGGCTAAAATAGAGACCACTGTACTTGAAATGACCATTAAAACACATGTGGGAAAAAAAGACTTTTTTAAAATTTGGTGACTAACAAAAAAAAAATGTTTCAACCAGATTTGCTATCATTCCACCTGTCTACTTAAAATTTGTGCACTTTTATATATGTATGTAATATCCCAATTACAAAAGTTTTTGAAAGATGTTTAAAACATTGTAAAGGTCAAATAAACTTGGGAAAGGGTTTATGAGGGCCAGTCCTATGTCTTGCTCATTCTTTTCCCTTCCGAGCCTCTCACACTCTGTCTACATTTCTTATGCTCAATAAATATTTTACAATTGAATTTGGGGTGCCTGCCTGGGACCACTTGCCCTCCAAAGAGAGCTTGATCTCCATAAAACACTAACAAGAAGTAGCAGGGAATTGTCTTATTTTCAGGTCAGCAGCAGAGATTTCTCTTTTTGAATAAAAGACATGAATATTTGATCAATGAGCAGATGTGTTTGTCTCTAAGGTACCAGACTAAGTTCTGAAGATGTGAAATACAGACCCAAGTTCTTTCTCTTTGGTTGGAGATATAATACACATATGAATACACACACAGAGAAGGCTGTGATTGTTAAATGAGCGACACAGACACACAATACAAGAGATTAGGAGGAGAGCTCCCTTTGGCTTGGGGGTTTTAGGGCAAGTTGATTTTGAGCTGCTCTTTTGATATTTAAAAATCATCAATCAAAAAAAACTACAAGGCATCTAGCAAAATTTCAAATACATAACCTTTGAACCAATAATGCTAAATATACTTGCATATGTGCAATATGATATATGTCCATCAACAGGGGACTAGTTAATACATTCTGGTATAGGAATATGATGAAATAGCATGAGCCTTAAAAAAGCAAAAATGTCAATGTGCTGACACAGAGAGATGACTTAAGATAACTTGTCAAAGACCAAGGCGAAGAACTGTGTTTGGCATGTTTCTTTCATATAAAAATGAGGGGGATTAAGAATATATGCTCTCACTGAGTACTGTGACAAAGACACCCCAAAATGATATACAAGAAACTAATAAAAGCAAGACAGGGGAAGTATAAGGGGAATAGATGGGGAATGGGCTCGAAGATGGGGAAATATTTTTATATTATTTGCTTTTGAACCATATGTATACTTAAAATCTGTTAGCTATTATTTGAAAAAGCTATGATGTAATGACGGTATCATAGGTGTTTACATATGTCCAAATGTAATGAGCTGTACACATTGAATACATGAAGGTCTTTGTGTATCAATTATGCCTCATAACACTGTTTAAAAAGATAGCAAGCTAAAGTCCTTTTTTGGCCTCCACTCCAGGCAGGAACAAAGCTATAAACTGCAGCAGCTGGATCAGGGACATGACTACCCTAGAACACCAGTGAGGCTGGGTGAGTGAAGACAAATATTGGGACCCGAGCCCATAAAGACTGTGGTCAGATTGTGGGTGTCCACACTAGTAAAAGCCATACTAGTAGACTTGGATCTTGCTGGTAGACAACTGGGAGTTCCTAAAGATTCATGGGCAGGGCTTTCTGGCAGGATTAAGCTGAAGGTAGTGTACAAAATGGACTACAACTGAGGAAAGGCCAAAGGCAGGGAGAGAGGTTAGGAGGCTACCAAAGCATACACAGTTAGGAGCTAAAATGGCATGAATTACAGCAGAGATTAGAGAACCACAGGTCCTGGAAGGCAGGTCTGGGCTGAGAAGAGATTTGGTTAGGAAAAGGCAGGGGCAAAGCCAACACTGGGAGGCACAAGGAGGAGTTTGGTATGACCAGTCTGGCAGCCCCAGCCAAGGATTCCATCAAGGCAGTCAAGGCCACTTTCTGGCTTCAGTCCTATCCCTCTTCTAGGAGCATGTCTTCACAGCCAAACTGCTAGGCCAGAAGTCAAAACTGGGGCCACTGTTCTGCTCAGCCCACACAGTGTTTACTTTGGGTGTATGTATGTATGTGACAAGTATTTAACTTCATATATTAAATGGGAATAAAACTATCCACTTTATAGAACTTACATGAAACTTTATTAAAATATATACAAAGGAGCATAATGCTCGTTCATAGTAGAAAAGCAGGAAAAAAAGGTATCCTTATCTTAATGTTAAATTTAATTTATAACTTGTATCATTCTAAAAATGGCAAAAATAAGTAAATGTTGAATATCTATAGATAAATCAATATACTTAAATAGATACTATGCATTTATACATACAAAGTTTTGCCCAGTTACGATCTCTCACAAGTTTACTTCTGTCTCAAACTTCATATTGCAAGGTTACAATATTTCTAGCTTAAA